AAGAATTTCAAGAAAGGATGGTTGCATGGGCCAAAAATATTAAGGTGTCAGATCCACTTGAAGAGGGTTGCAGGCTTGGGCCCGTTGTTAGTGAAGGACAGGTACCACATGTAAACTTTTTCTAAATTCAAAAAAGAAATGCCACTGATCAATGGTAGGTCCTTCCAAGCCTTATTGCTGGATTGTTGCACTGTTTTGTCAATTTTGTGTAATATAGTTCTGAATGAATTAGTCGGTGTATGCTCTTGCTAGTTGCTAGTATGTGGTACAGGGTCTTCCTACTTTGAGCAAATTCGTGTTAAAATGCATTGATGAAAAGGCCACCTTTCCGTAGGTTTATCTTGTCATAATTTAAACCCCAATAAAATTTTAATTTTTTGTTTTGACCCCATGGCACTTTAATGAAATCACTTAGCCATGAGCTTTTGTATATATTTTCAAAGCACCAGAATGTTTAGATGGTTTGTTGGAAATCTTACACATCCTATTGCCTTGTGTCAGTATGAGAAGATTAAGCAATTTGTATCTACCGCCAAAAGCCAAGGTGCTACCATTCTGACTGGTGGGGTTAGACCCAAGGTAATAATCTACTACACGGTTGTATATATAGGTACCCACATATCATTATGAAGTAGAAATAATCTTGTATGTTTTTGTCAGCATCTGGAGAAAGGTTTCTATATTGAACCCACAATCATTACTGATGTCGATACATCAATGCAAATTTGGAGGGAAGAAGTTTTTGGTCCAGTGCTCTGTGTGAAAGAATTTAGCACTGAAGAAGAAGCCATTGAATTGGCCAACGATACTCAGTGAGTTTTTTTTTTAATACAGTTCATTGTCCTGTTCAATCTTGCAGCATATGTATATACTCTGTGGCATATGAACTTATTCTGCTACTACTACTTTTGATAGTTATGGTCTGGCTGGTGCTGTGCTTTCCGGTGACCGCGAGCGATGCCAGAGATTAACTGAGGTATATCCAAGTGAAGGGGGTTGGCATTGTTTGATTCATATGACATGGTTGCATCAAGCTGATATTCAAGAATCTCATTTATTACTTGCATTCTATGCATCTCCAGTTCTTCCCTGGACTCCGGTCAATGTTAATATAGTTTGTTTGCTAGTAGTATGCTACTCCAATTAAGTTGCTCTTCACTTCCACATCATCTGATCCATGACTTTATATTTGACCCCTTTTTTTTGCAAAAGAAAGGGAAATACTTAACGAAAATTTCCTACTGCAGGAGATCGATGCCGGAATTATCTGGGTGAACTGCTCGCAACCCTGCTTCTGCCAAGCTCCATGGGGCGGGAACAAGCGCAGCGGCTTTGGACGCGAGCTCGGAGAAGGGTGGGTAGCACACAACAATCTCACTTTAAAACACCATTTCGATCGTCTGATGATCTCGACCTGACATCATGCCTTTGGTATTTTCATTCACTTTTCAGGGGCATTGACAACTACCTAAGCGTCAAGCAAGTGACGGAGTACGCCTCCGATGAGCCGTGGGGATGGTACAAATCCCCTTCCAAGCTGTAATGTAATATGCGCATACGCATGACACGCCCATCTGTTCTGATCGTTTGGAATAAGAGGCCATAGTATGACGGGATGGACTTTGTGCATATCGATGTTTGATTTGCCATGTGCTGAGCCTGGAAATAAAAAAGGTTATAGTTGGAGACTTGTGAGAGTTGTACGACTTGTACTGATGGTTACGCGACAATTTGTGCATGGATAGTTTGTGTGCTTGTACCGGGGTTCTCTCCGTATCGGCTTGTGGTGTTTCAACCTTAAGACCCCTGCAGTGCAGGAGCCTGCAGGTCATCTGTTCTGCAGCGAAGGTTTTGCGTGAGCGGAAGTTAGCTGATGACCGGTTCGGTTTAGCTAAAACCGGATGATGGATGATGGATTATTTATCAAGAGGATTACGTGCCACGCTTCTAAAAATATAACTTAAATTTTTCTCATCACCAAACGACTTCTTCAAAAACTTTTTCCATCGGCATTGGTTAGCTTTATATTATATGCTATTTTATTTATTTTATAGGGAGATATTATATTCAATTAAACCTGAACTGATAGATTATCCATCATCCTTCAAGTCACCTGTTTCAAGCGGGACCAAGGTCAGTCAGACCTGGTTAATTCGAGTCCCAAACTTGAATCTTGACAAGGTCCTATATATAAATGACTATTGATATGAGCATGAGAAGTTTTAAGGGTTTATTTCAAATAACTAGAAAGAAACAAAAAGGACGGAATTTCTCAACCGATAAGAAATGCTCTCTTTGGCAAGCAGGCTGGACCTCGGGACTCAGCTGTCAGCAGACTGGGTTAGCAATGGACGGAGCAAATAGCAGAATATACGGAGGAAACCATTAACATAGTGGAAACACTTCATAAAAGTAAATAGAATTGCTGAAAATATTCTCATAGTAGAGGAGGTGATATTATATAACCATACAAAATTCAAGATCAAACTCATTTTCTCTGGCGAGGCAAGGAATTTTTTTTATCTTACAGATGAAATCAAATCCGCGTTTCAAATTTTACATAATTGTGCAATATCACCTTCCCCACTTCTCATAACTTCTTGAGAATCTTCAAAAGTTTCTACAGACTGTTTTATTGCCAGAGGCCAGAGCCCGTGTTTTCAAGTCCAACTATAGCCAGAGTTTGGGGGAGCTTAAGATTCTGAGAAGCAGCTGGTTGGTAGCCAGCTTCTCAGAATCTGGAAAAGCTGGGTTTTCCAGCTTCTGGCTTCTAGTTCATTTCCTGGATTTTACAACTACAGCTTCTCAGAATCTGGACCAAAAGCTGGACTGTTTGGGGGAGCTTCTGATTATGGGAGAAGCTGCAGCAGCTAGAAGCTCCCCAAACAGGCCCTTTGTTTCCTTGTATCAACAACCATGGTAGTTGGAAAATTTTGTATCTTTTTTCTTCTCCAATTTCAATATTTCGCCGGCGTTCCCGCCCATTGGGACAAAAAAAAAGCACAATAGCGACAGGAAGAGTAGTAAGAAAACAATTTACAGATATATCAATTAAGACAAAACAGTTGGTATCAACCAATTCTAAAGAAAAAGGCAGGTTACCGGACGGGCGGCAATATCACAGCTGATACTCCATTATTTTGGGGGCAAGTAGCTTATAGCTTGCATCAGCGATAGTGATTCAACGGCAGCATAGGCGCTGAATGCCGGCAAATCAGACAGTAAACAAACCTGTGTTAGGCATAAGACATAGGAATAAGCATTTACAAGAAAGAGACCACGGAAGTTACCTCGTTGGTTCGTCTGATGGAGACACATTGAACCCAATGGTTAATATATTGATGCTTGATTAGTATCTTGTAGCTAGGAAAGGTTAGCTAACCAAACATCACAGCAAACTACTACCAAATGCCTTGAGCCTTTGTCAATGAATGAGTTGAACATTAGTCAGTACCTTGATGAGTTGTTTAATTTAACTACTAGAAGCTCTTAATTGGTTGGAGAATTCAATCATTCATCATAGACCCAAATTTGGTGAGCTATAGTCAGCAAGAAGAATCTGGAGAACACGTTTGTCTTTGAGGCCTTTAAGCAATGGCATGGATCAAGAAGATTCTATGGTGGCTTGCCTACTGCAGTCGTCATGGGATATATGGGAATCTGGCAATAAGTATGAACATTTCAGCTTCAAGCTCCTTTCTTTTAAAAATGAACATCTAATGTCTCCTATTCTTTGGATTCAGCCTACCAAGCTATGTTCCATGGATCACTCTCTTTTCCTTCTCATAACCATATTTAGCATTCTTGGCCCCCTTTAAAGAACTCGTCAGTAGTAAATAGGAAAATAGCAATTGTGCATAGTTTTAGCAAATGCTCGCTAGATGTCGATGAACAAAACTTGTATATCATGCAATAAACAAGAAAAGTATAAAATAACGATTATACAATGAAATTAAGTGTGGGAAAAAAATGAAATATTGGATTCTAGTTGAGCTGCTTACTAATTGAATATACAGCAACCTTTTGTTCTTACAAAATGAAAAGAACAATGGGAAGATTCAGAGCCATATGGACTACAATATTGTTCTGTCAATTTTCACTATGAAATCATCTTTAAGGAGTCAGTCTTATTGGAGTAGGCAAGTAGCATATGTGGTATCGTCACGCAACTTGCAATGTAAGGATGTTAACTAAAACAACTTGAGTATTTCTTTTTTGCTTTGTTTCTCTCTCGTTACTTTAATATAACATGCTTAGACTGCAGCTACTGGTGGGTGATTGAGCAGGACAAACGACGGAGTAAATGGTTCTGGAACATGTATAGGTCAGTACTTCTTTTCTAGTGCAATATACTTGTCTCATCAGCAATGACAAACTATAGTTACAGTGCTTCTATACACCCTCCTTCCACTTATGGAAGGAGGGAGTACTTTCTAACACGAGATTACCATTCAATGGAGCAAGCTATGTCAAAAGTTATGATAGCCAGGAAACAAAAAAAAATTAAGAAATATGAATGCATGCCTTTCTTGAAATGTTCTTATTCCTGGCTCGATATGATCCTATGACCACTGATTTACCTGCTGCATTTGTGTACTTGATCTTTCACTGGTATCACTTCTTGTAATAATCAAGCATGGGTTATTGACTTGGTAATTCTGACAGCAGTTCCAAATGGCAACTACCACCATGCTTTGTGGATGATAATCTGTTTAGCATGTAAATAAAGATTGAAACAAAACAATTTAACCCAAAATAAACTATCGGAAAGACTAACAGCATAAGCAAATAAACTATATGAAAAATATTTGACTAGCGCATTTTGTATTAAATGAATATTTGCAACATATGCAATTTTTTTATGTATTGCCGCCAAAAGTCAGCTAGGCATTTCACATGCCACCTAAGCAATAATGCATTCATTGAGAGCAAGTACTGACCATTTCATAAAAAAGAAACGCCAGCTTTCCTGTTAAATATTTCGATTGATCTCACAAGTAATGTTTCACCATCAGCTAGCTTCCAAGACCATAGCTGCCCCACGTTTTCCTCCAAGCTAACAGCTGGTTTCTTCAGCTCTTCCTTTCACACCACGATTTGCAATGGCAACCTTGGCTTGCACCCTTTGATTCTCACATCAAAGCATACTAAGTGTATGAATTACCAACTCCAACTTCTCAGATAACTCCTTATACACCAAAACACTGCAGGCAGCAAGAGCAAAGGTCTTCCCAATTCCTTTTGTCTTGAGAGAAAGAACCATAGACAGTGCGGAGACATGGCTGCCCCTGCTGTTCCCTCACCTCAGAAGAAGCTCATAGAAGTGCTCCAGAGGGAGCAGGACATCCTCTGGAGAATCCTGTGGGAAAACATTGACAAGGTGAAAGAGCTTACTGATTCCACCAGCGCCACCCTGCGAGGCCCTGAGATCGAGAGCATGCCAAAGACAGCCAAGATTTGGTTGCATCAGGTACGAGAGATCAACCGCGACATCGAAGACATCCTCGAGAAGTCCCCCTCGAAGACCTGCAGCTCAAAAGGATCCAACATCCTGTCATGCATCACTCAGCCGATCAATTTTGTTGCGCGGCAGAGGATATACAAGCAGGTGCAATCTCTCAGTGCCCGCATAGATACCATCAAATTGAGGCTGTCACTGCTGACCAACTTTGATGACAAGGAGGCACCAGCAAATCCAACACGGTACCAGCTGGATGACCGGCAGCTTGACATGCTCTCACTAGATGAGGCTAAAGTGATAGGCATTGGTTATCCAAAGGCAAAGGTAACTCAACTGTTGCTGGACGAAGAAAAGCAGCTGAGGGTGATCTCCATAATTGGAAGTGCCGGTGTTGGCAAGACAACTCTTGCAAGGAGCGTTTACAACGACAAAAAAGTGCAAGGGAGGTTCCGGTGCCATGCATGGATCACAATTGGTGCCCCGATCCCGATGGTGGATCGACTGAAGAGTATCATGGTGCAAATATTTGTGGAGAAGTTGGAGGAAATACCAGCAAGACTTGACTTCATGGATGAGATTCAGATTGCTGAGGTTATTGGACGGTATCTTGCTGACAAAAGTTTCTTGGTTGTCCTGGATGACATATGGAATTCTGATACGTGGGATTACTTGAAACTTGCTCTTCCCAACAATGGCCAAGGGAGTCGGATCATCGTGTCTACACGAGCTCAAGAGATTGGCAGAGACTGTCGCTTAGCTTCTGATATTCAGATCTTTGAGAAGAGACCACTCAATGAAGATGATGCTTGGTTGCTCTTCTGCAACAAGGCTTTCCCAGCAATTCAGGCAAGATGTCCAGCTGAACTGGAGGAGACGGGAAGAAAGATTGTCAGGGAGTGCCATGGCGTGCCCCTGCTCGTTGTCACCATCGGTGGACTAATGTCGATGAAGGAACAAACAGTCCAGGTTTGGAAGAATGTGCTTGACAACTTGCACAAGAAGTACCTCCCTGAGTTTACCCTCCCTAGCATCCTGTGGTTTGCTTACAGTGACCTACCTCACCACCTCAAATGTTGCCTTTTGTACTTCATCATGTTCCCAAGGAAGTACTCTATTAAGCGCATGACGCTCATTCGGCTATGGATGGCTGAAGGGTTCATCAAGAATGACCAGGAAAGCACACTTGAGGACACTGCAGGCCGTTATCTGACAGAGCTCATAGACAGGGGCATGGTCCAAGTGGCAGATTTTTATGATTATGGGAGGGTGAAGAGCTGCAGCGTCCATGATATGCTGCGAGAGATCATCATCTTGAAGTCAACCGAGGACAACTTTGGCATTCCTGTGACCCGAGGAGTTAACAAGGTCAGAGGAAATGTGCGACGTCTGTCCATCATCAATACAAATGATGATTTCCTAGAAGACAACAGCTGCACCAACCTCCGCACTTTGTTTGTCTTCGGTGCTAGCTCAATAAGCACCACGTCGCTGCACGCATTTCTGGTCGGATTTCGGTTGCTGAGGATCCTAGATTTGGAGGGTGCACCTGTCGAGAGCTTACCAGATGAACTGCCTGACCTTTTCTACCTGCGTTATTTGAGTCTGAGGAATACAAGGATTGACAAGCTCCCAAAGTCTTTGAAGAAGATGATGAACTTGCAGACATTGGACCTGAAAGGTACATATGTCTCTCAGCTGCCTTCAGGAATCACCAAGCTTGAAAGCCTTCGACACCTACTTGCTTACCGATATTACTCCGGTCGGCATCCGCCATATTACTATACGCTCGGAGTCACACTTCCCCGAGGAATAGGGAATTTAAAGGAGCTGCAGAAGCTGACTTATGTTGAAGCAAACCAAGGAAATGGGACCATCGAGGAGCTAGGTAGCCTGACACAGCTCAGAAGATTGGGCATTGTCAAGCTGCGTGAAAGGGATTGCATGCACCTCTGCTCATCGGTTGCCAAGATGACGGAACTTCTTTCCCTTTCAGCGTCATCGCTTGATGATGAAATTCTTGATCTCGGATCCCTGAATCCTGCTCCTCAGTGCCTCAGGCGCCTCTATCTGAGGGGGCCATTGCCGGGAATACCTTCTTGGCTGCACTCCCTCAAGAATCTTGTGAGGATACGGCTTAGGTGGTCACGCCTGAACGAGGACTCACTTAAAGAGCTCCAAAGTCTCCCTCTTGTTGAACTTGCACTGATTCAAGCTTATGATGGGACAAAGCTAGAATTTACCCAAGGATTTGCCAGGCTGGAGATACTGGAGTTGGACCATTTAACTAACCTAGAGCATATCAACCTTGAGAAATCAATGCCTGGCCTTCAGAAGATATCCATCAGGTCATGCGACAAATTGCTTACCATCCCTCATGGTATAGAAGGGTTAGAGAACCTCAAAGAGCTTTACTTATTTGCCATGCCCAAGAACTTCGTGGAGAGCTTGATGACTGGTGGTGTTAAGCATCGGAGAGTTGAGCATATTCCAGTTATTCGACACTTCAATGAACATCGGGACATTTCTTTGACAAATCTTTGAAGGTTGAAGGTACAGTATTATGGCTTGGTGCATTCTCTTGATTGATACGCATACACATCTGGCAAATTGGTGTACATGCTGGATCAGTGTTTCTCCACATGCATCTGCAGAGATGCATGGCTATTTTGAAAAGAACAGAGCTGCCATTGTCCAGAAGGACAGAAGAGCTTTTCAGTGGTTATTTTTGGAAGAAATATGCAGATATAATGTTGCTCATATAGTACATGCTTGCTACAGGGATTTTTGCATTGGTTGGAAAGGTTATTCCAAAACAGCCAAGATAAATGACATTCTCAAGGAAGTACAGCACTCCCATGCTAAAAGGATGTGTTTACATGCCAAAAAAAGGTGGTAGCTAATTGCCAGAAAAGTAGTAAAGCACTTGGCCAATTTAGCAAACTATCTGAAATTACAAGTTGTGTTATGGCTGACAAACGTGTTAGTCAATTCATGACTAGCATTATGTATGCATTAGTGAATATGTAGTACTCATCAATCTGTACCATGTGAAAATTAGTCAAGTGTGTTCCTATAACATGGCTGCTACACAAAGACAAAGACTGTTGAACACTTCTACTCATATAAAGCTAAGTTAGAAATTGCATCTGTGCTGTGAGTGCTTACTTACAATTGCTCTCTGGAAACATCATGGATGACACAGGAACTTATTTGTCTGGAAGACCATACTTCTTTGTAGAGATCACAATAGAACTTGATTAACTAATAGTGTATCTGCATAAAAAATAACCAGCACAATCAGAGTTTACATTTAGCAGCAATTTAATACATTGGAGTTTTTTTTACTCATTTCCATAATTGAATGCTAAAAACATTATCCTGCAAGATACAGTTGATACTACCAGTGCCTAGAAATTGAGCTCAGATCACTCCATGAACATGAATGGTCAAATAAAAAAAACAAACAATGTAGTTGCTGATAAGTTTGTGGATAGAAAACAATGATGACCAGTTCAAATAGTTGTGAGCAAGGAATCTTTTGATTCTTATTGCAGGTAGTAGACTAACAACCATATCCCAATCTGGAATCCTGGATAGGACAAAACAGAAGTTGAGAAACTCTAACAAGTTTGAGACAGGAATGTTTGGTTATTAGACATCACCAAGAATCATCAACATGACATATTTCAAATTGAAATACCAACTTTCACAAGATATCGATAATTTACGGTCTTATGTCGCTTATACCTTCATGATCATGTTTATGATTGCTTCCAATACTCCCTCCATTATTTCTTATTTGGCATTCCAGAATATGTAGCATCCTAAAGTTTGACCATCAATGGTTTTAAAATAATCTAGACTGGGTTAAGAACTGTTCTAAATAGGCTAGATTTGTCACTGAAAATATGTTCACAATATTTTTCATTTTACTATAATAATACAATAAAGTTATAAAAAAGATACAGTCAAAGTTACATCTCAGAGGCTTAAAAAAAGTTAATAATATCAAATAAAAATGAACAGAGTGAGTAGTTAGTTTTCCAACCAAGGGAGCAACTGTATCTGCTTGAACTGATCATCAAATGCACCAAACTCTAACAAAGCAACAGCTTTGCTGGAACTGTTGACTACCTCTCCTTCATTCTTCATATCAGCACCAGTTGCTCTTTTCAGTCAAGATCACACAAAGTTTTTCTCATAAAAATCATATTCGTTGGATAAACATGGGAAACTTTGAAATAATGATCTGGTCTGAAGTTCTGTTGTTTGTGGCAAAACATCTTGCTTATTAGCATAATCTACTATGCAGAAGAAGTTGCTAGCTCGAACTCCATATTCATACTGAAAATTATGCTGCTTCTGAGTATTTCTTAAGTCAGCAACCTCTGTGTATACCTAATCTGAAAAAGAAAAACTCATTTAGTATGTTGCTGCCCTTATTGTGGATATAATAACAACAAAGATTCACAGTTCAAACAAGTTAAGCAATAGTTTTGATTCTTTGGGGAAGTTCTAGATTGGAGTCACGAATACTCGTTGACAAACCATAGAAAGTTGGTAGTTTGGGACTTGGGAGGAGATAACCAATGGTTCCATCAAACAAAGTATCAAAAAGTTACACTCAAGTATCAAAACAAGTTTCATAGTGTTTCAAGCAAGTTTCAACATAGTCTTCTCTGAGTTTCAACTAAGTTTCAAGTGTAAAACCTACTTTTTAAGTTAGAATTACGGCATCTTGTCAGATCGATAACAATCCTCTTTAGTCTTGACAGTGTTATGTTAAATCCTGAAAAGTTATCATGCAAGTCTCTATATGCTTCAATGGACATTCCTTTATGCAATCCATGGCATCAAATTTAAACAAAATTACTGATAAAAGCTTAATGTTGTGTCAATACTACCATAAAATTATTGTGCTGCAAGATGACAAAATCAATTACTACTGTCAATTTTTAAGCTGCTAAATACTGTTAATTTGCACAAGAAAGATTTTTAAAGCTCAAATGCAACAAGGTACATATTTAGCAGGTCATCCACGGCTGCATCTCATTAAAACAATCCTGTGTGCTCTTTGAAGCAAGAAAGTAGTTTGTATTCATACAAGACATCATGCTATGCCAAGGAATTTAATTTCGTGTGAATTAGGGCAAGTATATATGAGTAAAGGTCGAATCGTGTAAATTAAAATTCTTACAACATAAACATAAATAGTTGAAAATGATGTGAACAGAAACTGATGCCACATAAGAGACAAAATAAAGATGGCTTTGTTAACAGAGACAACTAGAATAATTGTCAGCAGACGTGTACTCATCAAAGAATAATCATGGGACAACTTGGTGAGTATAACAAAATTTTTATATAGCCTTTTGATGTATGACAACAGGAGTTGTTCCTAAAGTAAACTCAGCAGTTAGCAGACCAGCTATTTCGTCTGAATACAAAAAAGGTGGTCCAATTATTCACTTTTGCTTGGGAGTTTTATATCACTTATTTTATTAGATGATAAAAGAAAGGAACTGAAAAGAGAAACTAGCGACTACTGGTCTCTTCACCTTTTAATTTAAGCACTAAACCACCCATCACTCATTCAACCTTAATTATGCATCCACCTCTTTTGGGCATATTGACCACTCCCTTAGAAGATATATCTTGTTCTGCTACATGCAGTAGCCTACTTGAAAGTTGCAATTTCCTCATAACTGCAGGCTTGCAACTTTGCAAGAATTTGTCCATCATGGAGATAGGTCTTACACTGGGAAGAGGTGCAGCAGAAACTGTTGTGAGGCCTGCATTTGACAAAGTGCAGTACTGGATTGAGCTGCTACAAGGAAAACACACAAGTACTGAAGAAATGGTGAATGAATTGGATATCTTGGAAGGCTTGATCAAAGATACAGATAGCAGCAGCGCAATCCACACACTCAAGGCAGCCAGAGGCCAAGCAGAAGACTTGTGTGCAAGTATTAGAGATGTTATTGATGACGCCAAGAGATTTGCAAGGTATAATCACCAACATGTTCCACTCAGATGCATCCGGAAATATACCCATAACTTAGTTGGCAAGCCTTCCATTTGTGAGACTGCTGAGAGGATAGTGAAGCTCCGCAGCCAAGTAAGGCGGCTCCAAGAGATACTAACACCGTTTGTAGGCCAAGGTATGGTACCCACAAGTGCACAAGCAGGAAGGCTGCAGCATCGCCATGTTGCACATGCCGAGGGTCATTGGGAGGGCATGGAAGAGCCGAAAACATCATTGTTCCAGTATGTATTAGGCAGGGAGAGTCACCGACAAATGGTTGCGCTGGTAGGGATGCCAGGCGTAGGAAAGACTTCACTTGCTCGATATGTTTATGAGGACAACAAAGTAAAGGGGCATTTTAACTGCCATGCTTGGATGACAGTGGAAGAGTCTTGTGCAACAAAACAACTTTTGCTGGGAATGATTAGCAGACTGTATGAAGAGGCGAATGTCAGGCTACCCGATGCAATCAATATAATGGATGAAGATGAGCTCAGTGGCATGATACAGCGGTTTCTGAAGCAAGAAGAAAGAAGGTATGTTATTGTTTTTGATGATATATCCAGAAGAGGGCAGCTCAAGTTACTTTCAGATCTGGCCCTCCCTGACAAGAATCATCCAAACTATGGAAGAGTAATAGTAACATCAAGAAACAGGGAAGTAATTGAATCCTGTGATCATACCATTACGATAACACAGTTGACTTCCCCAGATGATTGGAATCTCTTCTGCTACAAAGCTTTTGGATCTTCGAGCTTTTCCCCTGGTGAGGAGATCTGCCAACACCGTGAACGAATCTCCAATCTATGTGCTGGCTTACCACTTGCAATCGATGTGCTCAGTGCCCTTCTGGCAAAAAAAGACCATAGTCAATGGAGCAGCATCATTTCCGAACTAGAAAGCCATGGTGACCTTGGAGCAGCCACCGAAATATTAGAAACAAGCATAAATGAGTTGCCCAAAAATATGGGCCACAAAAATTGTTTGTTGTATTTCAGCATGTTTCCAAAGAGCTCAACAGTTAGTCACAATACATTGGTCAGATTATGGATTGCTGAAGGGTTCATAAAACGTCAACCAAGACAGACGCGGCAAGCAGTAGCGGAGAAATACCTCAGTGATCTTGTTGATCTTCATGTTCTAATGGTGGAAGACAGTTATAAGTATGGCAGGCCCAAAAATTATAAGGTTCATGATTTGATGCATCAAGTGATACAGAAGAAGGCAGAGAATGAGGATTTCTGCACAAGTTGTTCTGATGGCAACCAACAAGCGCCAGAAAGGGTCCGGCGCATGTCAATTCAGATAGAGGAGGACGATTTCAGACAAAATGTAAGTCTATCCAAGCTGCAGACCTTGTTTATTTCTAACAAGATACCACATGTTCCAAAGCTCTTATCTAGCACTACAGCATTGAAAGTCCTGAGCATGCAAGGGTCACTAATAGAGGAGTTTCCAAAAGAAATTGGCAACCTAACTCATCTAAGGTACCTTAATTTGCGTGATACCAAAATATCCAACCTGCCAATGTCCTTGGGTAATCTAACTAACCTAGAGACTTTAAATCTCAAAGGCACTTTTGTATCAGAACTACCAAAATCAATCCTGAAGATCCAAAGTCTTCGCCACCTTTTAGCATACCGATATGATGCACCAAAAAAACCGGAACGACAACCAGAGGCTATATTTGGAGTCAGAGTCCCTAAAGGGATTGGTCAATTGAAGCAGATGAGGACTTTCTCAGTTGTAGTGGCAGATAAAGAAAGCAAGATAGTTAAGGAGCTTATCAATCTTAAAAAGTTGAGGAGATTGGGAGTTCTGAACCTGAGAAGAGAAGATGGCTCTGATCTATGTGAGTCCATTGCAAAAATGGACCAACTTTCCTCTATTTCAATAACTGCAATGGATGATGAATACCTGGACATACACAATCTGTCAGTTGTGCCACCTCAGCTTCAGCGTTTATATTTGCGAGGGCAGTTGCAGGTGGTGCCACAATGGTTTACATCTCTTCACCGCCTTGTGAGATTACTCTTAAGTGGATCAAGTTTGAATGAGGACTCCATAAATATACTTCAAAGCCTGCCACAACTTGCTGAGCTTTCATTGATTCGTGCACTTAATGTGGACCGGATAGAGTGCCAGATTGGTGGGTTTAGAAATCTAAAGATTTTGGACCTGGATCAGCTTAATGGCTTAGTCAATGTAACACTGCATGGATCAATGGTAAACTTACGTAAAATGATCATAAGGAATTGCAGGAGCCTCGAAATGGTGCCATTGGGCACTGAACAGTTAATCCAGCTCGAAGAGCTCCACTTTTTTGACATGCCAAATAATTTTCTTGAGAGACTGAGAAATGGAAATGAAGATCATGCAAGGGTGCAGCACATTAGAAACATATTATACTACAGTAAAGGGTTTCCGCACAGATCAATAGAAGCAACAATGAGGTAACACTGAAGACATTCTAGCTTTCATGCTCACATATTGATTATAAACATTATATTTTCCACAAAAGAAATATCTTGATCTTTGAGATAAAATTGACCTAAAGCATTCTATGAAATATAATGGAATTTTGACATGCAAATCTTTGTGTTTCTTTTTTCTGTTTTTGGTTCACAGAGGTGGAGCCTGACTCCTGAGACTGTCGCGGAAATGTCCAAGGTGACTTTCTTAACTGGTTGCAAGTATCTAGCTCAAAATGGTACCATGGAATTTGCATTGTGAAACATGTCTGAGCAGGGACATATGAAGAAATACCACTAAACGCGTGATATTTCAGTGGCACAGAACCAAATTTTCCAGGTTATATTATTTGCGGTAAGTGGCTGCAAACTTTGGATAAGGCCCAGCAGAATGTCAACCTATGAATCTGATGTCATCTGTGATCACCAGAACACACATTCTTCAGGACTAACAGAGAAAATAGAAAACACTATTAGTGTGGAATAGATAGCGACAATATCAAGTCCTGCAAATTCTTGTGTTTAAGCATTATCTTTTCATTGTCTGCCTGTGCGAGTGTTTATTAGTTTTTTTTTTGTTTTGGGGGCATTTGAAAGATAGCTCATGCAACTTAGTTTTATCCGGTTCAAGATATATCCTAAGCAGCGCAAAATCCCAAAACACCTTTCCATATCTCTATCAACAATCCAAATATCTGTAATCTGACTGGTTAAACAACAGAACGATACATGGAGATTTAGTCACAAAAACTCCATAACCCCTATATTATCTACATGAATCCACAATCCACCATGCTGTTCCATGCCGAGTTAGTAGTAACTGGAGACCTACAGGTGCGAGCCTAGATGAATTGCCCAAATCAGGCGCTCTACAACGAATCTGGTGGCGCGCGGCATTGCGGAATCCGGAAGCGGTAGCATCACGATTCGGGGGAAAATAATAAATGCAGAGGCGGAGCGGAAGAAAACCCCACGTACCGCGTCCGTCTCCGCCGCCGAGGCTGCGCGGCGGCGATCTCTGGGCGTGAGATGGGGTGTGGGGTTTTGGGCGGGGAGGAGAGGCCGGTGACGGTGAGCCGGCCGGAGTGGCCGGCGGCGACTAGCCGGCGCCGGCGTCGGAAGAGAAGGGGATTTGGAGTTCCAACTCTTGTTTGTTGGGCCGCCTCCGCAAGCCCGTTTTATTGCCTCGCCTTCTTCGGATTGGAATGGGCCTTAAAATGGCGGAAAGGATGAGACCCGAGCCCATAATCTATTTAGGATGGAAAAGTACACCGAAGGTCCCTCAACTTGTCATCGAATTACAAAATCGTCCCCTAACCACAAAACCAGATATATGACATCCCTTAACCTACAAAACTGTTCTCTTTACTTTATCCGACATGGCGTGTGAGTCAGCATGGGACCCATGTGGGCCCCACATGTCAGGACGCCACGTCATCAGGGTCTCTCTTTCCCCTACTCTCCCTTCCTCCTCTCTCTCTCTCACACACTCATCTCCCTGGGCAGGCCAGCCGCCGGCGATGCGGCAGTGGTGACGCGGCGGCGGCGACACGGGAGAAGAGGAGGGAGGTGGCAGCGGGAGCACGGGGGAGATCAAAGACAACGAGCTCGAGCACTACGGCAAGTGGAGTGGGGCAACAGCGAGGCGGAGCGGCGGCGTGCGAAGCCAGCGAGGCGGCGGCAGGTGGAGAAGGCCGGCGAGGCGGTGGCGCGCGAAGCCGGCGACACGGTGGCGGACAACAACGACGATGGCGACGGGTTCGAGGAGGAGGAGGAGGACGCGCGCTGCTCCTCCCCCGTCGTACGCCGGCCCGCGTGCAGCTCTTCCACCCCCCCCCCTCCCCCCCGGCCACCCGCACACACCGGAAAGAAGAACATGACACGAGGAACTCACCGAGGGGCAGCACGACGATGGATGGCGAAGGGAGATGACCGGCGGTGAGCTCCAAACAGCGACGAGGTCGGGCCCAAGGTGACGGCGTCGAATCCAATGGAGGCGACGATGAATCTTGGCATCAACGGGAATGCTGGTGAGGCTCGGGCGGATGCGGCTGGAGTAGCAACGGTGGCGAAGAGGATGTTGGTGAGCACGCGGGGAGAGGAAGGAGGCGACACGATTGCAGGCCAGGGCTTCAAGTCTGCCAAGTCCACATCCGCGCCCACCGAGTCTACTGTAGCCGCGTGGCCCCTTCTCCCGTGCCGCAGCGCCACCGTGTCGCCCCTTCTCCCGTGCCACAGCGCCACCGTGTCGCCCCTTCTCTCGCATCCCATGTCACCTGTTGCCGGTGCCGCTCAGCTCATTCCCCACCGCCGCCGCCCAGTTCTTCCGCGCTAGCCGTCCGTCGCGCCCAGCTACTCCCCCGCCGCTCGCGCCCGCCGCACAGTACACAGCTCTCTCTCGTCGCCCGTGGAAAGGGGAGGAGAGAGAGGAAGCGAGGTGGAGAGGAGAGGGGAAGTAGAGGCTGACATGTGGGACCCACGTGGGTCCCATGCTGAGTCAGCTGCCACGTTGGTCAAAACCGGAGTCAAAACCATCGAGGGATTTAGTTTGCACTGGTTTTGTAAGTTAGGGGATGCGTTGTATCCGGTTTTGTAGTTGGGGGACGATTTTGTAATTTGATGACAAGTTGAGAGACCTTCGGTGTACTTGTTGTATTTAGGATTGGGTACATCGAAAATTTTCCCCCTTTTTTTTCCCATTTCAATGTATTCACATATGTACCGACTCCTAAAACATATAACTACTGGCTTGAATTTATAGATAATATTTATATCGTAGATTAGAAGACGATATTAAGTTGTATATTTGTTCCATTATTACGAAGGGAGTAGCTATATTTACAACGCCACGTTTCTCAAATCCATTTTTACACTACACTTTATCTACACTTGCATTGTCATTATAATTACAATATAAAATTGAAATTTTAACTATAATTTTTAATAATTACATTATAATTTTTCTAACACACATAACATAAAAAAGATAATATGATTAAAATATATTTATATATTGGAAGAGAAAATAGAGGATATAGAAGCATACCCACATATAAGAGAGATAGCTAATTACATAGGGAAAGAGTGGAAGCAATGTGGAGTTATATGTTTAGCAAAACTAATCACGAATATATCATATGTGATGGAATATTTCACACTCTAAAAGTACCACATCATTATCATCATCATCATCATTATTAAAGTAAATTTCAGAAAACTACACCTTACAACTGTAGCAGCATATAACGCAAAAGTTACAGTTTTGTGATAATTTTCCACGCTATTGTTACAGCCAGGGTTTCCCAAACCGCTGGGAAAAATGTACGAAACCGTGCAAAATTTATCAAAAATTCAAATTATTTTTTTAATTTATTTGAATTTAAGGAGGTTACCGCGGTTACCGACGATAAGTCAAACCCTGGTTACAGCAAACTGAAAGTTTTGTGCTTTTTAAAATTCATCATCATCATCATCGTCGTTGTCGTCATCATCACTATTATTATTTATTATTTGCTGCTGTACACCTAAATAAACGAATTAAAAAGGTCGAGCCACGCCGCCGCTGGAATCCACCGCCGGGCCGTCCAAATTGGCCGTATCCGGCCTCTTGCCTCCGCTCCGCGCTCTCATCACACATCTCATGGCGGGAGCACGAGCGGGGGACCCTGGCTCTGGCTGCACCTGCTGTTCTGCCACACAAGCAAGCAACCGCCGCGGGTTGCTCGTCTCGACGCGGCCCCTCACGAGCCGAAACAAACCCAGCAGCAGCAACCAACCCCGTCCAAACACAACAAAACCCACACTGTCAAGCGTCAACCAGCCACCCGCCTCGCGGAGTCACGGGCTCGAGCTCCACCACCAAAGCTCGAGCTCTCGCGCCCGCGTGCCGTGCGCCAATGGCGCCGCCCCCGCCGCGGCGCCCCGTCGTGCAGAGGAGCCTGATCTCCCTCCTCCTTCTCCCGGTGGTCCTCCTCGCGCTCCCGACGGCGGCGGCGGCGGGGGCGGGGTGGGCGCCGTTCAGGGCGAGGGACCTGCTCCCGCTGCTGCCGCGCGGGCTGACGTGGCCGGCCGTGGGCTCCGTCCACAGCGCCGTCGACCTCCTCCCACGGTTCGTCGCCCACGTCGCGCCGGAGGCCTCCTCCGCGGTCGCCTGGCGCGCCACGTGCTTCGCGGACAACGAGGCCGTCCTCACCCTCACCCATTCCTCCTCCGCCGCCGCCGCCGGCCGCAACGCCACCACCGCCGGCGCTGCTGCCCTTGGCGGCGCCCTCCTCCGCCTCAAGGTGCCCCCCGCATTGCCCTTAGCAATAGCCGTTTTCATTTGAATTCACCATATCTTGGTTTCTGGATTGCTCATAGAATTCACACGGCAGCAAATCTAAATCTCTTATCACCACTCGTAAGAGCAGCAAATAATTAATTATTTCTATTTTGCCTGCTATGTTTCTCTCACTAACAAGCACATTAGTTACCTACTTTGCTCGTCCCAAAATAAACCACACACATTTTAGCACAATGAATCTGGACATATGGTTGTCTAGATTTATTATACTAGGATGTGTCACATCTTTCCCGAGGTTTGTTTGTTTTGGAAAAGGAGTACTTGTGTTCATGTAATCCAAATGGCATGTGAAGTGGAATAGAGGAAAAAATAATTGAAAACTAGAGCATATGACTATAATACAGGGACAGATGAACATATTTTCGGAATGCGAATAGAATACTCACCACCTTACCATTCATTCCAAGCAACCATTAAAAACTATTCCCCCACCTAGTGGCAAGCGATAACAATGCCAAATTCCCAGTGGATGTACATGTACTCGTAAGAATAGTGTAAATCTGTCCTGTTGTGAACAGTGTGTAGGCATGATCCCTAGGTTTGTTCTCATTTGTGTTGTTTGCCCAGATCTTGGATAACAGAAATCTCTACAATTTTTTTTAAGGCCATGTGTTAATAACTGTACTGTATGAAAGTGCGTTCTTTGTACTGAATCATATATAGTCCTTCATACTTAGTTTTGTCTCAGCAGCAAAATGTTTGTTGTGGGGTTATGTAGACTGCTTCAGCTCAGAGCTGGACATGCATGGATCTGTATGTGTTTGCAACGCCGTACAGGATAGGATGGGATTACTACATTACAGCACAGGAGCACACCTTTGAGATCAAGGCATGGGAGGAACCAGGAGAAATGGAATATGTACGTCCCTTCTGAAGGTTATTTTCTTGTTTTGTTTTTCTTTTACAATTGGCTATTGGTGTTTTTTCACACTGATTCTAATGCTCCATATATGTGATCAGGTGAAGCAGCATGGCATTGCCATATTTCTCATGCCATCTGGAATGCTGGGGACGTTGTTGTCTCTGATTGATGTCATACCTCTGTTCTCAAACACTATTTGGGGGCAGGATGCCAACTTGGCCTTTCTTCAGAAGCACATGGGAGCTTCGTTTGAGAAGCGTACCCAACCTTGGTCTGCTAACATCAGAAAAGAGGACGTACATTCTGGTGACTTTTTGGCTCTTTCGAAGATTCGAGGGCGATGGGGTGGATTTCAGACATTGGAGAAATGGGTGACTGGTGCATTTGCTGGTCACACTGCTGTTTGCTTGAAAGATGAGAACGGCACTCTCTGGGTTGCAGAATCAGGCTATGAAAACAAAAAGGTACATTTATGTTTCTTATTTCATTGTATAACATAATTCCACTACCTACATTCTTGAATCTTCATCTTATGGATACATAAGCAATGCAAGATTAACAGTTATAAGGTGAAATGGTATTAGTAACATTTTTCCACCATTGCATATTCTTTATTCCGAGGTTTAATTTTCTAGTCAAGTCTATGCATAAGAAAATTGCCAATTGTACAAAATACATCATTTTCTCCTATCCTGTGATGTACCAGGCTCAACCAAGTGAACTAGGTTCCTACAGGATTGAGAAAGCCTTGTGCTAGATATAAATTGACTTCTGATGGAGATTTTGGATATGGATTAGGTTCTAACTGATATTAGCTTCTGTATATAAGTTCAGCCAGAGACTCAAACTATGATTTTCTTGTAATTTACTCTGTTAAAATTTATAAGTTCTTTGCAATCCTAGTAACTGTTATATTTTGGGTGTCTGCTAATAATGATAGGGTGAAGAGGTCATTGCTATAGTTCCATGGGATGAATGGTGGGGAATGGCACTTAAAGATGACTCAAATCCTCAGGTAGCATTTCTGCCATTGCACCCTGATGTTCGGGCCAGGTTCAATGAAACTGCTGCATGGGAATTTGCACGAAGCATGTATGGCAAACCCTATGGATATCATAACATGATATTTAGTTGGATTGATACGATGTCAGACAATTATCCACCACCACTGGATGCTAACCTGGTATTACTCCATTGCTCTTTGCACTTCGGTTAACATGTTAGACTTTCAGTTTCTTTGTTCAGTCCAACTTATATTATGTTTCCAGGTAATGGCTGTTATGTCAATGTGGACCAGATTACAACCACTTTATGCTTCTAACATGTGGAATGAGGCCCTTAATAAACGACTTGGGACTGAGGTATGTACAGACTTATAACATTCTTGTAGATACTAGTATGTTACACTTACTATTGATTCAAGCTTATGCAGAGATCATTATAAAAATAAAAAGACTACAGTTTGTTTCTTATGTCTGCATCACAACTGGCATGATGTGGTTATTCTAGTTTAAAGCATGATTATATTGTTTGAACCAGGACGATTTTTCTTCAGACTGGAAGCTAGTACTTCAGTTCATTTTTCTTCCACTCTTTACCTATTGCTAATTTGCAGTTATGCAAGTATTAATAGTCATAATTTTTTCAATTACATGAGAAATTAACAGTTACTCTGCTTCCATGCAGAAATTGGACCTTCATGGGATCATCACCGAGACCGGAAAACGGGGCATGTCTTTCAACCAGTTGCTCACTATACCCGAGCAGGACGACTGGGAATACAGCGATGGCAAATCAACCACTTGCGTCGCCTTCATTCTCTCAATGTACAAGAAGGCCGGGGTCTTTGCTCCTTTCACGGAATCGATCCAGGTCACAGAATTCACGGCAAGTACTTCTCACCTCATTCCCTACCCTTTTCTGCAATTGATAACTTGAGAATTCAGTCCTTAATGACATGGCATGCGTACCTTGTGCAACTTTCTGAAGAAAATGGGAATTGACAAAGGTTACCTGACTCATCAATTGACTGTCCGATTTGCTGTGGGTTTAGATTCGAGACGCGTATATGCTCAAGATCTTCGAGGACAACCAGACGAGGCTGCCAAGCTGGTGCAACAGCGGGGCGGACAGGCTCCCGTTCTGCCAGATCCTGGGCGAGTACAAGATGGAGCTGCCGGAGTACAACACGATCGAGCCGTACGCCAACATGAACGAGAACTGCCCCTCCTCGCCGCCCACCTACACCAGGCCGCTGGGATGCTAGCTGAGCTGACCACCAACATATGCCAGTTGTTCAGACTCTAGAAGATATATACAGATCGTGTTTCAGATGGAATTGTTCTGATCGATCTAGCTAGGCCGGAGTGTCCGTGTAAATAAACCGATTTTTATCGTGCTCAGATGGTAGTGCTGATGTGAATGTTGATTTTCCTGTGGTAAACTACAGGGGTGTGCTACGGAATTCGATGAAATATGAACAGGATGTCGATTACTTGCAAAAGTTGCAATCCTAGCTTGAGTGACCAAATTATTTGCCACCATATGCATGCCATGAGTTTTGATTCTTTTGTGGACACTCATGTGGATGTGGTGGGGTATGTGTTTGGAATTTGGATAGTTTCTGCCCACTTCAAAGACACGAAGCCATACCTCACAGCTTCCTAAGGTCCCGTTCTTTTCTCCAACTTGAGTTGGATGAAGATTAATATTTTCGTGGCACGTTTTTCAAACCGCTAAATGGTGCGTTTCGTGCGAAAACTTTCTATATGAAAGTTACTCTAAAATATCATATTAGTCTATTTTTTAAGTTTGTAATAATTTAAACTCAATTAATCATACATTAATACCACCTCATTTTGCGTAAAAAAACTTAATCTTCATCTTCAGAAGAAAGAACACCACCTTAACTCTTACCTCTTCAGATTTTTATCGTCCTGCAGCCCACTAGCAGTGCTCAATGCTATTAATATTTATTTAAAGGGATAAGTCCATTTTTAATCCTTGAACTATTTGTTTTGTCTAAAATACACCCCCGAAGTTTAAAACAAGGGTTTTAACACTACCCCCCTCCAACTTTCAATACCATTTTATCCCCTTGAGCGGTTTTCAATCTGGTTTCACCCACACGGCAGCACCACCAGAGGAAGAGCATCTCTTCCCTGGGGTCCTGCTCCCTGCCACTACTGCAAGCCATCCCTACATCGATCAATGCGTAGTCGTTGACGCCCTCACCGTGGCGCTCACGGAGACGAAGGTGATGCGCCTTTATTCTGCCTAAGCCCATTGACTTGCCAAAGATAGAACGAAGAGATAGGAAGAAACAAGAGAGAGGGGGAAGATGGCCATGGCATATAGGGCCCACTGTTTTTTTTACACATGTCGTTTTAATGTACCAAAACCAACTCAAGCCGTTCAGGGATGTAAAAGTGTCCGATATTGGTAGTTGGAGGTAGGATTTACCTTATCGGGGGTAACCGCGCTTACCGCTGGGGTACATTAGGGGTTATCGGCGATAGGGTTTGGTAAATTTTGCCCAAATTCAAAACTCCGAAAATAAATTGAAAATTATTCATGGATGTAGTTCTTGATTTGTAGTGGCCGATGGTGAAGAATTTTTTTGTGGAGAAAATATCTCCTAGGTCCTCTCATCTCTCTATTGGCTCTATATCGCTCTATTTTCAGCATGTCCTTGTTTATATCATTCATTCCGAACTATAACTTTCTATATTCGTGCTGCTTGTCATATGAACTACCGTATTTGTAGTTGTGGACTTTATTATTTCAGCTTCATTTGGACATCATAATACTTTCAAATGCGAGGTTGTAAATTATTATGCTATAAAATGTTCAATTGCTTTAGAGTCCATAGTATAGAAAGGTCATGCTGAATTTTTGTATTTTACACCCAAAAGTTAGGTTTGCAAGTATCCTAATCCTACATTCTTCTAATTATCCTCATTTTTTACACACATCTAAGTGTTTTTTCAATTTTTAGAACGTTTCTGTTCTGCTACAGAAAATTGGCGGTAACCACACGAAATCGTATTGTAACTGTGAAACTGTCGATTTTTTAATTCAAATATTTAGGGACGAATTTCATGCACCCTGCCTCCCCCCTCAAACTGTAAGGGAAATCCTTGTCGGAGGATGTCAAATGTCCAGTTTTAAAGTTGGAGAGTGTATTTTAGACAAAGTGAAGAGTTGAGGGATGTATAATGGGCTTATCCCTTATTTAAACTTGTAAAATATCTTTATATATTATACAATATGATGTATGTTATTATATCAATTAGATTTATGCTAGCACTGTCGTACATATTGAACTCAAATGGACACTGTTTAGTCCATGATCAAACTATTTATATAAATTATATGTAATAACCTGCTGATTATGTATGTTGATATTCCGATTTAACTGGCGTGTCAGTATTATCTTGCCACGTTACCCTAGCTGACATGACATGATAAAATTATTAGGCTTGCTGCAAGTGGCACGTCAGTGTTATTTTGTCACGTCAAGCGGGCTGGCGTGATAAAAAGTTCAGATTTTGGAAAATAAGTTAAAAATAATAATTCTGAAACGAACTCATCCAGACGGATGTCAGCTGTTGGCACGCGCTACTCCCAAAGTCCATCGCCACCATCCGATGGACGTAGAACGGCGAAGATGAACTCTCCACGTGTCCTGCTCCACGTCCCCCACTCTTCCCTCCCGACCCCGCCGCGGCCGTGCTCTCGCTATTGGTCGCGGAAGTAAAGACGCGAAGCCCGCGCGCGCGCACAAAAATACTCCCAGCCCCCCACCTCCCCCACTCACTCGGATCCCACCACCATTTCGAACGGCAGCGCCCTCCCCTCTCCTCTCTCCTCGACACACAACCGCCGCCGCCGCCGCCGCCGCTGCGTCCGGTTTCCCCGCGTCGATCGATCGCCGTCGCCGTCGCCGGCCGGGAGAGCCCGCCCCCCCTAGATCGATCCCCAAGGCCGGGCTGGGTCGGGGCCCCGAGCGATGGAGGCGATCGAGGAGCTCTCGGAGCTCGCCGACGCCACGCGGCAGGCCTCCGCGCTGCTCGCCGACGACGACCCGTCGGAGCAGCCCGCGCAGCGGCGCGGGGGTTCCTCCTTCCTCACCGTCGTCGCGCTCGGCAACATCGTGCGTATAGTAACCTACCTACCTAACCCGGCCGGCCCCGCCCTCGAGGGTCGAGACCTCGTGTTTTGGCTTTTGATCTGATGGGGGATTGGGATTGTGATTCCGTGTGTTTGTGCAGGGAGCGGGGAAATCCGCGGTGCTCAATGGATTGATCGGCCACCCCGTTCTCGTCAGTACAGTTTTTTTTCCTTCGTTTGATGCCCTAATTACGTGGCCTGAATCCTTCACTTGCAAATTTTTTTTGCCTATATTCCTCTCTCTACATTGTCGATGCAAGCAAGGTTTGGTGATTGATCCGATGGGAATGGTGTGTTGTCTATGAATGTAGCCTACCGGGGAGAATGGTGCGACGAGGGCCCCAATATGCGTAGATCTTCAGAGAGATGCATCACTCAGCAGCAAATCCATCATGCTGCAAATTGACAGCAAGTCGCAGCAGGTTTCTGCCAGTGAGTTATCTTCCAGCTATTTTCCTTTTCCAAATCAGTACAGGAATTCTGTGTGTATTTTTTGACATAAGGAATTCTGATATTTTGAGAGCAGTTGAGATGGATGTCTGCATGTGTGAGTGACTGTTGAGTCTTAACTATTACAAATTTATAATGCAGGTTCCCTCAGGCATTCGCTGCAGGACCGGTTAACCAAGGCCGGTAGTTTTGGGAAGGGGCGATCGGAGGAGATAAATGTGAAATTATGCACGAGCACTGGTTGGTTTCCCCTCTTCTAGTTGTAGTTTGTGGAGCTGTGTTGAATCGCTGATTAGCTTCTGCGGAGAATACATTTTCTTAGATATGCAAATAGACTTACAGGATTGTATTCCTGAATAGATGCATATGGTTGAATTACAACTTCTCAAATTTGCTTTGTTTGTGCCAGTAGTTTATTGCCATTGTGAAAGTGTTCTCCAACTGTTTAAAACTAAAAGGGTTAGCCACATATGTCCTTTCATTTTGGATATCCTTGTTACCGCGAAATAGAACCACAAGGTCACATATAAACTCAACAGAATATTGCTAGACTATACTTTGGATGCAGTTCATTTATAATTAAGCTTAGCTGCATCCTGTCACATAATTGTGTTGCCTCATTGTTCCCATCCGCATTATATGAAAGCGTTATTGTAGATAAAGTGCTAGAACTTTTCAACGTTATCTCGTAAATTGTGATGAAATATATATACCTAAGTGCATGTTTTCCCCATCAAGCAATAATTCCTTACATGACACTGGATATATGTGTAACTCTGAAAGTTTTTCTCGCATTGACAATTTGCACCTAGACCCACATGTATATGAGGAATAAATTGCCTATAAGAAATATCTCACCAAAACGAAAGAATCTCATGTTTCAACTTTCAAGATTACAACAACCATCTTATGTACATCTAATTGTGTATCCACTTAGTCTAAATACTATAATTTTGTTTCAGCCCCTCCATTAAAACTAATTGATTTACCGGGGATTGATCAGCGGAGCATGGATGAATCAATGGTCAGCACTATTGATGTCCTATTTTATGATTATTCTCTCAGTTATTTACACAGTTATATTGCAGTTATGTTAAGTTTCTTTTATCTGCTAATTATACAAATGGGTCTGTTCTTTTAAAATAATTTTTTATGATAGTTTTCTGAAAGGGGTTTTGTACAACAGTTTGGTACACTACTAGAAATGAAATCATTTTTTGACATGGATTTGGTAAAAACTAAAAACAATGACATAGGGCTTGTACATGGATAGCTTCTGACTATTGTTAGATGTAATGCACACAGTACATTTACGAGGATATTGATTCACAGGAGCAAAGTTTTTGTTCTATCCTATCTACTTGGATATTGTCTTAAGGATATGGAATGGTCTATTTTATCTAGAATGTTTTTTTTTTTCAGATGAAAATCTCTCCGCATACTTCTGTTGATATATAGATCCAATTAAATGTGATTCTCGGCATTAGTCAAGTAAAAAAAAATAACAGACCACTATCATGTGGGAATTGTTGTGCATTTTGTTCACAACATCAATTTTTTATCATGACGTGAAAGAACCACTCAGCTATAAAAATATATTCTCATTTCCTCCAATATAGTGGAAATTGATGTGATTAGCATTCAGCACTTCATATATACCAGGCTTCTGGCTGAATTGTTATGCAGGAAAATTTATAGTAAATCAAACTTGTTTTTATCAATTTTCTTAGATTTAGTTAGTTGACGTGCTACTTGCGATATTGTCCTTGACTATAACTGTAATTGCGAAGCTAATGAGTATCTTGTGTCATTCTCTATGTATGGTTTGCTTCAACAATCTACTCATCTCCAGATTGGGAACTATGCTGCACGCAATGATGC